ATCTTTACTATTACAAAAAGGTTAATCAATTCGCAGTGATCATATGCTTAACCGCGAATGAATGATTTATGAGGGTTAATGGAGGTCCACTTAAAGTATCAAGGAGAAACGGACCTTTATTGGCCTATACGCAGCGTTGCTTTGTGCTACGCAAATGAGTGAAGGTGCAAGTACCTTAGTAATTGGAAAGTAGCCTTTTAGCTTTGGTGTACAATTGTGTGGGAAGCGAGCAATTTGGCAACGAGTGTCGTAGTACCAAATTGGTAAGCTCTGTTGGTAAGGTGATCGCTCGTCCATTACTCAGTTGTCTCATCAATGAAATACTCGGGTTCAGTGTCATCGAAGAACAATACGAGCTTTAGTAAGAACGATGCGCAACCGACATGACGTTAGTAGCTCGTTACTTGCGAGCGAAATACGGCGAGTGAGGCGAAACATAAGGCTTATTGTTTGCAACTTCAGCGAACATTTTATACCCGTAAACAATGAGACGCTGTGGCCAGCGTTGAATAAGTTTGGATGGTTTGGCAAATGTATTCCTCTAAAGGACTGCTTTCACGATGGCACACGAAACTAGATGGAGAAGTATGAACAGCTTCCAGAAAGATACTTTTGCCTCGAATACACAGAGTGCTTGGGTACTGGTACCTACAATTTAGTGCATATCCCACTGCATCTGAAAACCACATTGCGACAATGTAATTTCGGTAACGAGTTCGGGTAAGCATCGACAATGAACTGTTGTGCAATCATCGTTCAGGAACGGACGGCCTAGTGTTGCTGATGTTTTCAACAGTGCAGATCAGGACTATTGAGTATATTTCGCAGAACAAGTCGACCTGCTTCTATCCTAGGAGTACATCTTTACCCTGGAAACTGCGGGTCCGTGTATCAACAACTTTTACAATCCATAGCAACCGTTAGTGTCAGATGCGGTGGAATATTGAGTAGAGGTTACAATGCGGACATACGTACGACTCTACGGTACGGTTCTGAAACCTGACCCATGGGATCGGCAGACGTGAAGAGGCCATTTACGTTCGACAAACGGTGTCTCAGCAGTGGATCATATCTGGCGGGAATACTTTGAGCAACAAGCGTGTTAAACGCCTTGTTTATGGCACAGGAGGAAAAAGTGAATTATTCAGCACTAGGATCCGATGGCTGGGTCACGTGTTGCACATGTCAGCACAACGATTCCCGCGAGGTCCGTTGTTTGTTCGCCAGGGGTGCGAATGGAAAAAGAGGAAGACCAAGTGATGAAGTGGTCAAGAAAGATGAAGGTCTTTTTGCGAAGTTGCACTCGGTTGGAACCTCTCGGCTCCCTGGTTGGAGCCCAAAGTATAATGAACATGTTTGGCTAGATACACTTGTTGACATAGCTAGGAGTCGACCTTTATGGCGTTTGTATTGCGAGTTTCATTGGCCCTCCCCCTCCAACCTCGATCTCACTTGCTACGCATGACATAACATTTTATTTGCGGTACAATAGCCGGAAGCTAGATCTCTTAAATGATTTCTATCCGTTATTGGAAGCTCAGCTTACGTGTCTCTGTTGAATGATTTTTCCTTTTACCATGTATTGCGACACAATAGATGACGTGTTTACCACCTCTAGCTAGCGCGTTGATGATGATAATGGCGTGGTAGAATATTATCTGACCACTGCGAATGAACTGACAGCAAACGCAAATGTTGTAGACAATCTGCCGTTCTCTGGGGTTGCAAACCCTCGACACTGTCAGACATCCGCTGACTCGAGTGGCTTCAACAACACTTGGGGTAGACTCCATGCATTCGCTGGTAAAACAGAGCGCCAGGCACCAAATTGACTCAAAGCAGCGAAATGCACTGAACGAACCGTATGAAACTGCTGCAATATCTTGAGTGGTTTTGTTATGTCGGTTCAGTATATGCAACCAGAACACCGAAGCTTCTACTCCATATCCGTTTGTTTGCAGGTAAGGTAGTGTGTTCAAACAGAGGCTACGTAATCCGATCGCAGTAAAGTAGAAAGGGAGAAGGAAAGGAATCAGCAGGACGACGGTACGCAGTACACGCTTCGCTGCCACGCAACCACCACCGGTCGCACGTGAGCTAATAATGCTGCGAGGGTCACCCTGTCCCTATGCAGGCTCGAACCCGCGCAGCAAGATTACTAGACAAGCTCGTTACCTCTAGGCTACGGGCCGGCAGTAAGAGTGAGATTATTCCGGACAAATGCTGGTCGCAGTTGAGGGTTTCATTGCTGCTCACTCTTAGCCATGCACTCCATGACCTACGGTCTTGTCCTGCTTTGGACTCATCGGGCAGTGGTGGCCTAAATTGGGAGAGGAACTCAGCACGTAGTGGTTGACGGCTAGAACCATGATCACTAGACCACTGAACTCCGCGAGCACAGCTTAACACAGCGGGGCGCAGTTGCCTCGTGGAAATCGCAATCGAATGTAGGTGATAGCCTAGATATTTTAAAGCTAGTTTAATTTAGTTGTGCGCTAAAAGTAAGGTATGCGAGAATTTGATACAGTCTGATGCCAGAAAGTCGTTGTGGTTTACAATTTGCCGAAGAAGCAGGGTATTTGGTAAGGTGTAATATGATCGTGTAGAAGCTAAAAACCGTTCATGTACCACGAACCTTTTGTTAACCCGCACCACGTGGACGGGATCCGTCGACGCTGAGGAAGGAGATGACGCCACAAACCTCGATTTCCCTAAGGCCTTTAAGAGTCTGGACCATCGCAAACTTCTTTAGAAGCTTCGGAGCCAATGGATCGGTGACTTTCTTCTTGGTTGGACACATTCCTTCCTATCCCAAAGTCGCTTGAATGTACTAGTTGGATAGCGCTCAGTCCGACCCGATAGAAGTTCGTTGTGGCGTCTCTCAAGGTTCCGTACTAAGATTATGGTTATCTCTAGCGTTCTTAAAGAAACTCGCGGGAGTGTTGACATCAAACTTGCTACTCGCTGCGGACAATCTTAAGATTTCGCAGGCAACCAGGAGACTAGACAACCACATAGCACTGCAAGACGTTCACAACAAGGTTTACAAGTGGTCGCCTCAGAACATGCTTGAGTCTAACTCTGTCAAAGATAAAATAGTGAGCATGCGCCACCAGAAAAGCTACAAGTATCCACTAAGAGAGCATGCCTTGCAACGCACTACTTTTGAAATTGATCTTGCGGTCCTCGTGCGGAAGAATAGCGGATGCTCTAGACAGGTTGAGAAAGCAGTGAGAAAAGCTAGCCAACATTTGGCCTACTGTGGGGAGGGCGTGTGGCCGGTTTGATCCCACTGTATTTTGCAGATGTTAGACACATACGTGAGACCACATGTGGAATACGCCACCCATCTGAGGCGCACTTGGCAAAAACGTGACCTCACTGCTCTTGAGAAGCCAAAATGGAGGGCAAAAAATGTTATGGGATTGCTCCACCTCCCTTAACAGCGGAGAGCAAAGACTAGGAGTTTTCAGCGGACCATATCATTTTCTGTGAGGTGATCTCATATTGGTGTATTAGATCTGCAAGCATCTTAACCTTCCATGCCGCCTATTATCAAATCTAAGCTACAAAACTTCAATGACATGCCACCGTTTGAAGTTAGCCACACAACAGAGCCGGTTGGAACAGCACCGGAACTTTCTCTTCATTCTTGTATCCCAGCCGTGGAACTTACTTCCGCATTCCGTCATCTTCGTTCCTACGTTAGCGGAGTTCAAAACCCGACTTCATGATGCAATATACCACTTGCATTACGTGGGTCAACCCAATTAGCTGGAACACGATTAGAAGTAACCAAACTGTGTTCACATAAACTTTGCGGTGTGTTAACCGCTATGTGTTATTTTTTCTCTCTCTCGATGCATTCATTGTTGCGTTCACTCGTTACCTACGGAAACTTTTAAGCGTAACGCTTTTTATCCTTGATAAACCTATTATGCCATTGATTCAGGTGGATGTATTCGAGGCCGCTTATCCGGCCTGCTAAGTCGTCGAGTTGATCCGGGAGAAGTATGGCCAAAGAGGAGTTAAGTGAGTTGAAACGAGCAGGCTTAAGTGCCATTAAAGGATGTCGCCTTCAACAGTGGTTACTGACTGCCTCGGTAAATTCACATGGGATGCCGCACATCTGATGTGTCCATTCGTACAAGTGAACGTGTTCTGAGGTATTCGCCACTTCTTCTCACATTCGCTATGTTTGTCAGCAAGGCATATGAGGCAAATGCTGCACAGTACTCCAGTCTTCCGATGTCGCTACTCTGATTACTGTCCTCCTGAGAACGATAACCGCTGATTGGGTAGAGAGATTGTACATTCATCATGGATACGCTAGAATGAAACGTTGGTTCAAGAACGGAACGTACTAATGACTGAACATTGCACCGTGTACCTCTAGTGGATCGTCTGCTTTTTCCAAATTACATCAGTGACCGACCAGCGGACACAAGTAAAACATGAGTTAAATGCTTGTAAAGTATTTGTATACCATCTTGGTAGGTGTAACATCTACTGCACCTTGACTTCGTTATTATCCCGAAGTACTGTCCCGTCAACGCATCCACTACGCAATGTGCGCACTGAAAGATAATTACACCCCTCCCCAGAGCACTCGTGCCTCCTGGGCTTATCCCTTCGGGTTTGCAGAGGAAACAGAGTATGAGAATGAATTTTTATGCGATTCAGTGGAAGGCATGCACGATACCGCTGTGGGCACAGGTGTCCTCTAGTTATTTGTAATTAGAGTAATAAATGGAGATGGAAACTGACGTCACTAGCTACTACTAATGTCGCAAGCAGTGCCAACTCGGATAACCTAAAACCTTTCATAGGCCTTTTTGTCTTTAATCCTTTACAGTTATTTTCGTTCGGTCAGGTTGAGTTAGAACTACAATGCAGGTGGCCGAGAGGAGTATTAAAACGAAAGGAGGAAATAGACAAACAGATTGAACTGAGATTCAGAGTAAACAGGCACAAAAGAAAGGTTAGCTTTTCCAACTCACATTCATCAATTGCTTGTTCTCACGTGGGTTTGCAACAGGAAATTCATCCATGTTGCTGGCTGTGGGATAGGGTGCGGGTGTATCAGCCAACCATATAGCGCCGATCGATACTGGCTTGGTTTGGTCGACGAAGTTTGTATCCTGACCTCCGGGAATAGAGAGGTTTGATTAGTTCGGTTGATAAATTATGCCAATTAGATGCAATGAAGCAAGTTCCAAGTTCCATGCCTAGAATCAGTATCAATCCATGCAAAAAGATTCGATGTTGTCGACCTAAGTCTGAGCTTAACTGCCCTGCAACGAAGGATGTGATCATATAGCAGTGATCCTCTGCTTCGCTTGCAAGAGTCAGCGTTAAAAAAATAAAAGACGACTTCGGTCAAAAGTTAATTTGAGGCTCGGTGAAACACGTGTTTGTCTTATACCAATATGTAGTGAAGAGAGATAGGTACAATGAAAAGTATGCGCTAAAAACTATGCCTTCGTATGCAAATTTTCGGTGAAATGATCCGAAAAACAACTTCGCATTATTTACCAAAGGTGTTCACTATGATAATAAAGACGTCAGAGGTACTGACCAAGAAACCAACAAGTTTGCACTTGCGCAAGTGCCCAAACCTACAAAAATAATCAAGTCCCATATACGTATAGAAACAACTGATTCCACTGGAAGCCGAGTAATTGTGACAATAAGGTGGCTATAAGCAATCCTTTGGTCTTTCTAAAGAACTTACTCGAAAAGCGATTCGAACGGGCGCTGCGTGTGACAGTTCTTCAGGAGTCGGTGTACTAGTCGACTTTTCACTAGACAGCTCCCTGCAGGTAGCCTGCAAATTAAGCAGCAAGTATCCCCCATGGCTATCAAGATCAGCTAGGCGTTCCTGGTTGCCCTTCAAGAGAATCCGTTCGGCTTCTGTTCCAAGTTCTCGTATGCTCCTCTCTCCGATGAGGCTCACCGGAGCAAATGATACTGTTCGATGGAAGTCATTAACCACTGTAGAATTTCGCTGCAACAACATCCCGCTGGATTTGCATTGGTCGCTTCCATCAGGCTTCTTAGGCACGAACGGCATCGCGGCTGAATCCGACTCGTGTAACCGGGCCGGAATCCGGTCAGCTTTGATAAGCGAGGATACCTTATATTGCTTGTTTATTGAACATGGCACACTGAAACAAAATGAAATCAAGGAACTTAGAGTAATTTTAATTTTCCAACCAAGGCGATGGTGAGAGATGGGAAGGTGTGATTTCCATAACCACCTTATGGTAGAGGGCTGCGACTCAGAGCGCACAGACCACTGAACGAAGGAGACAAGCATCCACATCATTCCAGCAGCTGGTGTGGAAGATGGGCGCTTGTTAAATGGGACGATCCTGGTAGTCTCGAAATAGTTGTGATGATTTATTTTCGGCTGGAGAGAGTGTACGGTGTTAACGACCGTGAAGAGGCGAAGTCACGAAGGGAGATCTGGGGCTGACAAAACATGCACCGTGGTGGGCAGTAAAATGATGCTAAACCAGTCAAACAATTCATCATCCGAATACAAAACTATTGTTTATCTTCAGAGTCTAGCAAGTCTCCACCCTTTCTGCAAAGCAAAGTGCTGTCATATGACTCGCCCCGAACAGCCCAATTTCACGGGTTCGGTGTGAGCGTGATAACTTTTACAAATGATTATCCAAAATGCTGAAAACGATTTAACTCGGTCTAGCATCAATTCCTGGTGACACAAAATGTTCACAAATACGCATCTAGGGTCAACTGACCGGAAACAAAGACGACTAACTATCAGTTGCTCGTAATACTGAGTCGCAAAACAGTATCGAAATCGGTAAAACCATATATCTGTTGGTAAATAAGTAATAAGGTTGAAACCAAGGCAATGTGCACCAGATTCATCACCGAGGTTTTAACACATACGATGTGTGTATCGATTGCGACAGAAAACCCCATCTTAACCAGAACTAACTCTAAAGTAAGCGTTCGTCCTATCCACTGCCAGGACAGTAGCCGACGCGGATTAAAGGTTAACTGTTGCTCATCTCAAACGATGGTCGATTTCTTCCATGTTTGGGACTCGACTCAGGCGCACAGTGATTGCCTGCAGATGCTCTCATCCCTATCACATTGAGTGCTGTGGAGAAAGCCTGTCATGACGGCCAGGAATTCATAGTGGCGTTTTAGTTGGCTATGTATGGACTGTGACACGCAGATATATACGTGATCCAGCTAAACGATGCTTTTTCAAAGCAACGCGATATTGGCTGGGACTATCACAATCCGTTAGAAAGCATGTACTCGAAAATCTGCGGTGAGTTCGTAACCGTCTTTGTGAATGCAACACTCGGAGCTACGTGATCTAGTGAGAATGAATTCTGCCGACAACGATCACGTACAAGGACCAACTCTAACTGAATAGTCAGTCTTGGACGGAACCGGTGGACTCAAAGTCAGAAACAACATGGCATATTTATCGTGCATAACCTTACAAATATGACGGAGTGAAGAAGACTTTTTACTGTTCAGGAAAACGTGGTACTAGTCTGTTTGCACACCAGTGTTGCCATATCACCCCATGTAAATAAAATGCAAGTTATGTGCTGGGACGCCAAACAGTGGAAAACGTGCGTTCATTCTGCTGAAAATCATCTGCAAAATTCGCAAATCAAGAAATGCTTGAATACGCACTTCGTCCATTACCCATCTACATTTGATGGTGAACTGAAGTTAGGCAACGAGCGCGGCGATTGTATTAGGGTAACGTGAATGCTCATGGCACACCCGCTACTTGTCTTAAGAAGTAACCGGTTATTTAGGTGGACATAAATAACAATAGTAATAATAATAATAATAATAATAATAATAATAATGTGTCAGCTGTACGTCGTAACGGCGCTTCGCTGTCGCGCGACCACCACCAGTCGCACGGAGGCTGAATATACCGCGAGGACGCGCACCTCTACGCGGATTCAAACCGGTGACCTTATGGTTGTAAACCAAACGCGCAGACCACTCGGCCACCGGCCGATATTAGGTGGACAATATGAGGCTAGACATTCAGTGCTCAGATAAACAAGTGCCAAGCAACTTGATGATATGCGGCCACGCCGATCACATATATGGCTATGGCTGGCAGCATCCGGTTCCGGATTTGCCTATCATTGTGGCCTCTACAGGGAAAACCACAGGACACTGGCGCCTACAGAGGAACCAGAGGAACCCATATCAAATGTAAACCTGAAGGAAAAATACCGGGAGGCATGTGGATGGGAGCTAAGTTTCATCAACGGTGCCAGCACACACTCCTACAGCATGTAAAGCAGCGGCCGCAGTAGCAGCAGCCGCAACAACAACAACAACAACAACAACAACAACAGCTTTCCTGCCTATCTAGTTATGGAATCATGCGTACCAGAAGTACACAAGACCGTGACTGGGTCCCAGTCCGTTTCACATTGAATGGAACCGTTTTTTGATCCTAGAACAGGCTCGAGAACCGTGTATACCGTTCGCCCAGCCACGATTCAGTCACTTTGAACCAGTAATCGAAGCGCAGGGTGTTAGACAGGCAGGCATCTTGACAACATTCAAATCGAGCGCAGACACACCGGGGATATCAAACAAGTAACACAGAATTTGTGGGAAAGCAAGTGCGCCAAACTGACACCGAATACGCAGCAGAAGAACAGAATTGAACAAACCAAATAAAGTCCAATGACGTTTGTCCAGATTAAAAAGACCTGGTTTAAGTGTAAGTTGATTTAGCCCAACTGCAGTAAAGAAGTATCATGAATGCTACATCAGTGTCAGCGTAAGACAAATGTGAGGCTATACACACTTCTGAATAGGCGGAAACGCGAACTGCTTCCCACTAGGGCACTAGCTATGGTCTATTCTACTACAATGCGCGTGTATTGGAAACAACCGAAACGTGGTCTACACTGCGAACACGCTCTCCCCTGAACTGAGGAGCCGTGAATTAGTACATGGCGTTCACTTCAATTGTGGAGGGTCTTTGTGAATTTCAGACCCACACGGTGAAAGTGAAGTTTCCCGGAAGTGCATCATATGGTCTTTAAAAAGCACACCGATTAAAGGTTAGTTGTTTGCACTTTAGGAAAAAGTAATATAAACTCACCCATCAATACTAGTGTAGGTAAAAAAGACTTTTGCCTCGAGACAACGCACTTTAGAAGCCTTGTAACCTTGCAAAGTGGACGCCTCTGCAGTGCAATCACGGAGTTGGTCCAGGTTTCCCCTTATCACGGTGGTGCCGTCCTCGAGAACAACATGCACGCTGAATCTGTGAACAAGAATTTTCGAATTGGACTCAGGAAGTGTTGAAAGTCGTATGGGGCTTTGAATGTCTCAAAGACGCCGTAAGAATGGTTAGCTTTGAGGCCATATGGGTCAGTCTTAAGGAGTTATGGAATTCAGAGGGGAAATTATGTCCGTCATTCGCATAAACGAGACGAGTGCAGACGTCCAGTTAACCAGCAAACTTGCAGCAAACAAAGATAAGCCGATAGCGTAGACTGAAAAACACAAAATGTGTTGGATGGTATAACTGCAGTTAAGACAGTGTGGACAAAATAATGGGTAATACTGTCAAAAGGATGAAGTAACTAAGGTAAACTCGCTTTTGGTGTAAATGTCTAACCTGATTATTGGTCTCGTCCTCAGAACGACCACGGTGCTAGAGAGTGGTGCCCCAATTGCCACATCCGAGTAGCCATTATTGTCCACATCTAGCCCCTTCAAACCGATGGAGAAACCGAGCCCTTTTAATGTACCGTCTCCAAGTTGTGAGTCCAAAGTGGCTGTGCAGATCACCTTTGTTCGAGAGCAAAAATTATACCAGAGGGATGATGGTGTTTAACTGCTTTGATCATAGTACTACATGAATATAAAACAGGAAAAACCCCTTCAAAACTCCAATGCCGTGTTCCAGTACAACTGTTTCGAATAAAGTAAATATTTGTACTCATGTTTGTATGCATGTTTATGCGATGAGAGCATTTGCAAGGCCTCTGCCACCTGCCTATATAGACGTCTCGCATCGTCCGAGAATAAATAATTTATTTATTTATTTTGTCATCCTCTTATTCTGATGGGTAGACTTTTCGTTACAAGAGGAAGTGACTTGTGTCACTATGACAGTAAGAAACACTCTTGCAAAAATTCTAGTTCTGCTTATACAGCCATCTTACCAAGTCAAAAAATCTGTCCAACACCATTCATGCGAATCAGTGGATAATTTAGCTGAGAAGAGTGTAATAGAGCAGTTTGATCCCGTTCGCTATTCATCATCCGCCTGTGTTCTAGACACCCGCTGTGCGACAGTGCTCGCAGATTTCTTCTTGACAGACGCAGACGTTTATCGAATTCGAACAGCTGCTACCACTCGACATGACCGGACAGTTGGTAAAGACTGTGAGGTGTAGATATTCCTAACGTAGACATCGGTCGTTTGCTAGCACTACCCATCATGTCCAAGCTAGACCCCTTTATAAAACTATAATAGCGCGCTGAAGCGACACTATGGGGTGAGGACTGTCGACAAAAGTCAAGTTATGCAGCAGATAGAAGTTGGGTATTGCCCACCCGAAAACACTGCACAGCCACGACGCGTTTCGATGTAATTTTCATCTCATCAGGTGGAGACAGCAGGATTTGAACCCACGACCATTGGAATAGCAGCCAACACTACTACCCCTTTGGCTACCGGGTCACGATGGGCAACACATTTTGTCACAACGGTAACTGACTAATTGGAGGGTCAAGTTTGGATTACACGTTGTGTGATTGGATTGCGACACGCAACCTCAATTTAATGGACTGTGATTCACATTGAAATGAATCTTAGTCACCGCGATCACTGGGACCGTATTCAAAGTAGATAGAAATTGGTTATTGCCCACCCGAAAACACTGCACAGCCACGACGCGTTTCGATGTAATTTTCATCTCATCAGGCTGCTATTCCAATGGTCGTGGGTTCAAATCCTGCTGTCTCCACCTGATGAGATGAAAATTACATCGAAACGCGTCGCGGCTGTGCAGTGTTTTCGGGTGGGCAATACCCAACTTCTATCTACTTTGAATACGGTCCTAGTGATCGCGGTGACTAAGGTTCATTTCAATGTGAATCACAGTCCATTAAATTGAGGTTGCGTGTCGCAATCCAATCACGCAACGTGTAATCCAAACTTGACCCTCCAATGAGTCAAGTTATGCAGGTTGTCGAAAAGGGATGGGTTCTAATGCTCAGCTAAGGACCACGTGGAAATTGAAAACGTTTGAACAGAGTAACCAGTCTCCAAACCGTCCAATATGAAATGGATCGCCATGATTAGCTGAACTGACTAGTGCATTGTCTCTCTTGCGAGTTTAAAAGGCGAATCGGTTATTGTTTTCAAATATGAATTGGCCGACGAAATGTCACGCACACAACTTGGATATCACGGTTTTTCTAACTTCCTGCCATCCACTTTTCTCAGTACATCCACACGCGCCGAAAAGTGATGACGCACCGTTGCGTGCAGGTCCCGGTAGCCGCACACGTGTTAACCGCATCGCTTTATCCGCAAGTGCTTCACCGGTAGGTGTCATATCTGATACCTAGTGTCCGCGTCACCTTAAGTGCAAACATCAAACCCGTATATTACAAACTGCTAGCCAGGTATATCCATTCGGCCTGTTTGCTTTCACTCCACTGTCATTTATTCCCCGTGGTGTGAAGGGTGTAATAACCACATCAACAATGCTGTCCCCAAGCAAACACAACCTAACAGTTAGGTCCACAGTTAATCTCAACACCCAACATTGCACACCCAGGTTTAGTTTCGCTCCCCGTCTGTCTATTTGTTTCGTGGATTAAAGATCTTACCGCGGAGGTCAGAGTATTTTTGAGAGACGTATTTTAGAGCGAACGCGTTACTTCCCGCTGAAATCAGCAGATCTACGTCAAACTACAATTGGTTCCGATCCAATCACTGGCTGCCTTGTATCGATTTCTTTCGCTATCACGATGGATCGCAACCAGAAGCCAGACACATTCGGGCAACATATTAGTCCAGTTAGCGTATGTTTGTTCGAGCTCTAATCCAAATGAGGGTCGGAACGTCTTGCTTAGCGCCCACCGCCTTTGATAAGTTATATTCAGTTTCATTCTCAAATCAGAGCCCAGTTGAGATCTGAAACTATCCACCTTGTTTGGATATCAGTACGGCAAAGATTCCTACCAATTAGCTTATCTTCACTGTTTATCTTGTGCAGCACATCGTTACGTTCTTCGTCGGGTTAAAATACCTCACCGTCATGGGCTCTCGTTTTGTTTACGTTCACTGTGATCTATAGCTGGTTGTTTGCGCCCTTCCTGCAGTTCTAGTTATAACTTGGAATGTACCAACGAGTTCAGTCTATAGCTCGGACTCATCATGATGACAAATAACTTGGCTAGAACGATCGTTCGTAACTTCCTGGACCGCCAATAATGTGGGTGAGATGAATCCTAAACCATCGCGAAACACTATGCAAATGTTCACAATAGACCACTAGTTTCGAGATTTGGCGGTGGTAGATCTATCCTTTAAATGGAACACAATTTCTGGCCCATAGCCCAACAGATCACTTTTATGAGAAGCTTAAGACGGTTACTCGTAAGGGTGAAAACGATTCGTTTTTTTCAAAGCCAATTTAGATGAGGACCTGCTTAACTGGAGGGGGGGGGTAAAAGTAACTACCGACAGAGTGCGCCCCATTACCTTTGCCTCCCAGCTAAGTACAGTGCATGGCCAACCCGACGAGTGAACTCTAACCGCGACCTCACTTAGGAAACAGGCCAGGGAGTGCAACTACATATATGACTCTACTTTCGCCTGCCTTTTTTGCTGCATTGATGTGCATTGCTCATCATACCCCGCCCCTTATATAATGCGCTTCGAGTTCACAGTGATTTTAGCAGCCGCAAAAGCGTAGCTGCAAATAGCGAAAGAGTGGACTCCCCAACGACTCATTCCGGGTCACCGGAGCTCTTCATGCGTCTGCGATAACCGGTGCACTGGTACACAATAGGATAGCATCCAGTCTGGGCCTGCTCCCCGACCTCAGTAACACAAAACTCACAGGAAAGTGCAAGTGGATATTCCTTAAAGTTCTCGATAATTCCATTTGCGTTGGTATGTAGGGATTCATCAGATACTCATATAAGGAGACTGGATTTCTAGACCATTTCTAAATTGCTTGCATCTGTTACGTAATCGCTTTCATACATAGTGCAGCAGATTGTATCCTTAACGCAAAAAATATGATCCCATTGTGACGAAAATTGTATCCACGACGCCATGAGTGGTCAACCGCTATCAACCAATAGCATTCGGATAATATGCCGGCATGGCTGTTTAACCTAGACGCAGCTGGGGCGTAGAGCTATCGGTTGACTGCTTGCCGCACGGATCTCAGCCAGCCGCTCGTCTAGATGCATACCAGCATTGGACAGTAGGGCAGTGAAAGCACGGGCTTGCTCACGAACTGGCTCCAAACCCTAAAGCGTAACACAGACATCTCCTTTGCTCACTGAACGGGCTCGCGCAAGCCAGGGAGCGTGACCAAGTGGTCCTGACATGTTCACTGCCACGTCTACGTCTGTCCAAAACTACGATTTCGTGAGCAAACCCGTGCTTCCACCCCCTTATTGTTCAATGCTGGTATGCATACAGACGAGTGGGTGGCAAGGTATCAACCGATGGCTCCATGCACTAGCTGCGTCTAGGTTAAACCGCCACGCCGTCACGATTACAGAGAGATTTGTGGACAATCGGTTAGTTTATTTAAGTGGTAACGTTTCGCTTTTGACAAAAAAAGCTTCTTCAGGCCCGGTGAATTTACACATAGTTGGTGTGGCGTTATACAACTGGTGAGGAAGCTAAATGTGACAACTGAAATATAAGTCAAGCGACTCTTACAGACAGATGGGAAAGTCGACTCAAATGGTCCGTCATAACAGGACTATTGTCGGGGCTTCACTGTCAGGCACATTAGCTGAGGAGTGTTTCGCATAGTCAACTAACGTGTATTGATGATGATGATGTTGATGATGTTGAATTTGTTGATGATGATGATGATGATGATGATGATGATGATGATGATGATGATGATGATGATGATGATGATGATGATGATGATGATGATGATGATGATGATGATGATGATGATGATGATGATGATGATGATGAGAACTGGTGCGAAGCAGCGAGCAGAGGTTGCTCTGTGTAGCTGCATCATTCGTCGTTTTCGGACATGAACTATTCATTCATCGTTTCGCTCTCTGTACTTTGCCTCTGCAAATTGTTTGTCTAGTAGCATCTTGAATTTAGACACTGTGTTGGCTTCTACTGTATGCTGAGGCAGGTCGTTCCAGACATTCACCACTCCGCGTTCGAAACAGAGTTGATGGGCGACCCGCTTCAAATCCGGGACGATAAGTTTATACCGGTGTCCTCGCGTGCAGCTTGGTGTGCGCAGATGAAGTAGTTGTCTCAACATGGGGTAATCACCCAGATGTAATATCCGGTGCGCCATGATGAGGTCAACTCTCAGCCGACGATAAGATAGGGTGTACAACCCTAGTTTCTTACATCGGTCTTCGTATGGCATACTTCGTAAGTTGGGAATCAGCCTGGTGGCTATATGCTGCACCCGCTCAAGCTTTTCTACTTCGCCCCGGGTGATGGAACAGTATGCGGGAGTGCCGTACTCCAACATTGGTCGTATTATCGAGACGAAGAGGCGAGAAGCAATCTCCTCGGACCAAGTACTAAAGCTGCGCCTGAG